TAATAATGAAAGCGAATGATTTGTCATACATTATCTAAGAATAAATTAAATAACCTCATCATAAATCGTCTAATTAAAATGAAATCCCAATTAAATTTAATACGTGATTATTTTATTATTTTAATACATTATAATAATATTATTTTAATACATTATAATCTGATTAATTATATTGGAACTTTTCAAATGAAATGGGTACTTTCTCTACAATTGTTTTTCAATTAAACTCTGCCATTTGGCAGGGACTGAACGAGTGCAGGGTATGGAAACTATCCAAAGAAAATGTTTGTGGAAAATGAAGAAAAAATGATGATTAAATGCTGGAAAGGAACGGCTGGAGTGGGGGCAGTAGCTGGATGAAAGAGAATCAGCAGAGCAAAAGGGTCGGCAGTGCAAATGGCGCCGCGGCGACCACATTGATTTTGGTTGAACCAAACTAGGTCGCTGGCACAAAAAAAAAAAAAAAAGAAGAAGAAGAAAAAAAAAAGGAAAAACTTTCAATATGAGCTCATCAGCAGCAGTCACAACTGAGATGAGAAAGAGATGAAGCAGGAGATGGACAAGCAGAAGGCACATAAGCAGGAGTAGGAGTAGGAGAAGGGAACAGCAGCAGGAGCAGCGGCTGCCAGCGGCGTAAATATGGTTTTTAGCTGAACTGAGCATAAGGAAATGTGGCACTTTATGTTTACGACGGCTCCTAATCAAATTAAGAGTCCATTTAACAAGTGCAAATTACATAATATGAAAATTACGCATACGCAACGTGGACAAAAAGAAAGCGAGCGACGTGGAATGGGCAATGGGCCATGGGCCATGGGCCGAAGCGAGATGTGCCAAACAAAGCTGATAAACTAACAAGCTGACTCACGCCTCTCGCTCGGAGTGCTCACTGCTGCAGACTTCATTATGATTATTATTATCATTAACAGCAGCAGGAGTAGGAGCAGGAGCAGGAGCAGCAGCATGAACAGGAGCAGAAGCAACAGCAGCAGCATGTCAACATGTGGAAACCGGAAATGAAAAAACACAAATACTAAGCAAAGCCGTTGCCACTATGCCAATGCTTATTAACACATACTTACACACACCCACAAATGCACACATACATAAGTATATACATATATTATATATATGTATGAGTGCAGCAACAAGGACAACCAACAAATCAAAGCAGTTTCGTTTTAGTTTCTGCAGTCAGAAACTTTTCAATTGGAAGCTCACTGATTCTCAAAATAATTCTGTTATCATATTTTAGGTAAAGGTCTGAGAGCTGAAGAAAAATGTAAGCTTTAAGAAATTATAGTATAAATCAAAAGAACTGCCGGGCTTTGGCTGGCATAGTTTGAATCATTTTTTTAGGAGAAGACCTAAAAGCGCTTGAAGCTTAAGAAGTTTAATTCAATAAATTAAATTAACTACACAAGTATAGAATATGTTTCGGTCACATACATATGTATATAAGAGATAGAAAACCTTGTATGCTAGAAATCGAAAAGACCTTGCCTTTCAGATTTATTCTTGATTAGTCTTTATTCAGCTGTAGTAAATCTAATCTCATATATATTATTATCTTTCAGGATAACTAAAGTAAACACAATGTATATCTAAGAGCTATAGATCATACTATATGTGCAATCTTAGCTCCAGTTTGTCATATGCCACAGCCAAATTGAATAGAGGGGTTTTTCCTTTTTTTTTTTTATTGCTCTACGCAAAAGTGTAAATGGTCAAGGACATTTTTGTCGCCTGGCAAAGCCAACTGCATGTTGTCAACGTGGCAAGAAGAAAAAAACATATATATATATATATATATAAAACTGTGGCTGCCTCCTCCTTCTCTCTCTCTCTCTCACTCTCTCACACTCTTTCTCTTCTGCTCACGCACATATATACGGCTGGCTGTTTTAACTAGTTGTTGTTGCAGCGCTTTGTTGTTGTTGTTGTTGTTGTTGCTGCTGCTCGGGGAAAATCCCAATTCGAGTCAAACAAAGCGCGCTAAAAAGTATGCAACGCACTTTGGCGCTCAACGCTAGACGCTTTTTGACTAACTGCCAAGCGGCACAAACACACACACACACGTGTGTATGTATGTGCATGTATGTGTGTGTGCGTGCGTGTGTTTTCAATGCCCGCCGGCACTCTGGCAAATATTACTCGCTACTACTCCATGCTCTCTGCCATATTTGACAAAGCAGCACATTTCTTTCACTCTGCTTCTCCTTTTCATTTTCAATAATTCTTCCTCTTTTTTGTTTGTGCTGTATGCATGTGCGTGTGTGTAATCCTTCAAAGGCATTGTATGCCACACACACACACACACACACACACATGTACACACACACTTAATGGCATTTTGACACTGATAATGATGTTGTCATTTGCATCCGCAGCAAAATTATCAAGTTCAGAGGCCTCCACAAAATCCTCGCATTGAACACCATTCATCCTGAATATGTGTATTTAGATATAAATATCTATGTGTGTGTATGTGTGTTGTATATGTATGTATTACTGCAAATTGTGCATTTTTGATGACAGCTGCAATTACAGTAAATATTCCATTGAGCAAACCATTGCTTAGGGTCTGCAATTTTCAGCTATAAACTACCAACTTTCTCATTTCTCATTTCACTGTGATACTACTCTATTGAAGATGTTCCGGTTGCGGCTTCTTGTCTGTTGAGTGGCCAAAAATAAATATGGCAAAACTTTCAACTGTCGCTGGGCATTACGATTTGTTTGGCTCCATGACTGGAGGCAGTTGAAATTTGTTGTCAAATCTGTATTTGTGGAATTGATTAAATTGCGCTGCCTGCAGCAGCAGCAACGACAGCACAAAGCAAAAGTTGTCAATACATTAACAACAAAATTCAAAAGCCAATTAGAATCAACACAGAAAAAATCTAAATTTGCTGTGGAGAAGAAGGCATGGAGCTTAACATAGAGTTGTGAGTCCTTAAATTTGGAAAAAAGAAGCTAAACTGGCCTAAAAAGCAGCCAAATATAGCTAAAACATCATATCTATTTGATATTCCAGCTCGAGCATAAAATATGCCATAGAATGTTAAATACAAAATAAAAACACAATCAAAGCAAGCCTTTATAGTTTAGTTGAGCGTAGCCTTATTCTTAGCCCTGGCATGAATGTTAGCCACGTTCTTGGCCTTATAGCTTTAGCCAAAACCAAATTGCTCAAAGCTTAGCAGTAAAACAGTTCAGTAAAACAAATCTTGGGCCTCAAGCCACCACAAAGCAGAGCATAAAAGGAAGCAAAACTAACCCCACACATTCATCGTTTTTTAGCCATAAAATAGCTAACCAATTTGGCTAACTACTTTGCAATTTGGAGTTTTGCAGAACAACCCTCCCGCTTTAATTGACATCGAGCGCCATTTGCAATTTAGGGCACACTGCATTTTTATTGACGGCCTGAGTCGTGGGGCGCAGGGGACGGAGGACGGGGGCCGTGAAGGTGTAAAGGAGAAACTTACCTTATCATTGTTGTACTCGGCTCTTCCTCTGCCTCTGCCTGTGTCTCCGCCGCTGCGACCAACAACAACAACAACTTGAACAGCAGCCGCCAGCGCAGCCTTTGCCGTCGCCGTCGCCGTCGCCGTCGTCGTTGCCGTTACCGTTTGTCAACTGCTGCCGCTTAAGGCTCGGCGCGTCGCGCTGCTCTGTTCGCCGCTTCCGCTTCCTCTTCCTCGCCCTCTTCGTCTCCGTCTCGCCCTACAGCTGCGACTCCGACTGCGACTGCGAGTCCGCGCCGTGTTTGTTGTTGTTGCTGTTGATGCTGGCGCCGGCAGCTCACTAACAGCGCTCCATAGCCACACCTAACATATTGCGAGTGCCGTGCAGTGTGTGTGTGTGTGTGTGTATGTGTGTGTTTGTGTTTTGCTTATTTTCTTTTCGATTAACAACTTTATGAACTGCTCTAATGGGCTGCCTTTATGTCACTTTCACTGTACGCTTTGTGGCCTTTTGTATCCTTTTTGCCGGTCGCGTTTCACGCACTTTTCGCTGCCTTTGCTACTTTACTATGTTTCTCTTTCTCTTTTTGGCGCTGCGTGCACTGCAACTGCGAATTGTGTGCGAATTTCGAAATTTAATGTGGCGAACACGAGTTCTGTTTCAACTTTTCTATTTCTATTTTATTTTTGTGGCAACGCGTTGCGACCGTCGTGTATGGCTGCACAGTATTGAATTTTTCGCATTTACATTTTTAACGAGCGGGTTTGGGGTTGGGGTTGGTATTGATTTTTTTGCCCAAAAAACTGACACTTGCTGGTGCACACACAAGCCGCCAGATGGCGTGTATTTTGACAATCAAATTGAGGGTTGAAGCACTGCCAAAACAGCTGACCGCGTGTTGAGTAACGGTTAACCATTTGAAAACAAAATCGCTCCACAGAGCTGCCAGATAGTTTAAAACTTCATCAATTAGTGCAAATGAAGCGATCAGACGATTAACGGTTAGGTACTTGAAATACAATTATTGTAGATTTAAAACCCATCAAAAAAGTTTACGTTTGAGTTATACTACATGAACACACAATGATTTTTATTATATTCAATATATAAATAAAGTACCATAACATTTACAAATTGCATTACATCAAAAGCGCCGTTTTATCAACCATATTTCTACATATAGTTCACTAAAATCATTATATTCATTTTATCAGTATCTGCCTTTTTGCACTATCACAATGATTCAAACTACATTGTTCAGCTTTTCCATTGGGTAAAATAACTATTCATAAATTTAAGGTATATATTAGAATATATATAATTATGTTGTATCTACAGTATGGTTAAAAACAATAGCTACATGCATAAAATTAATATATGTATTCCATAATATGTATGTATTGTAACTTTTCGACTATATCAATTTAAGCACTTTTTGTTTTAAAATATTCTACGCATAGCTTTCAGTCTTTAAATAAATCCAAAATCAATTAGAAACTGCAATGCTACATATATCATCATATCATATGTATGTTTATATTGTTTGTATATGTTTTTGCAACTGTTTTAAAATTTGAATAGTTTAAAATTTGGCTCTATGATGTTTCTCAATCATTTGCTACTTGCTTCGATGTAAAAATTTTCATGCACCGGCCCCCAAATATAAATGCACTCAATGCTGCCAGACTGTTGAGGAATGTAAGATTTCGGCTGACGTGCATTTAGGTTGGATGGCTGTATGAAAGACGGTTTATGTTTAGCTGAACTAGACGTTGACTCGATGTGGCCTCCTAAGGCATATGCATATGTTTTGCATTTCTCTCTTTAAATGTAAAATTATTAAAATTTGGCTGCATGATGTTTCATTCAGTTTCTGTTTCGATGTACAAATGTTCGTGTAGAGACCCCCAATGGGAAATACACTCAGCGCAGCCATACTGCTAAGACATTCGAATGTGGTTAGTTAATGACAATTTGAATCGCTGTTTTGGATTTTTAGAGTGCACTCTCATAGGGGTCGGCTTGAAAGACGGTATTTGTTTAGTTGCACGAGTTGTTGATGGACGTTGCCTACAGACGCGTTGCTTCCGACACGGTGGCAACGTCGCAGCCATTGTCCGTTGGCTGCTGTTGTCCTGTAGAGCTGGCCACATCCTTCGTTGGCCTGGGCAGGTGCGAATAGTAGCCCAACTGACAGGAGTTTTGATGAGATAGCTTTTGTGTTTGACTTAGCTGATATTGCGCCGCCTTCAGCGCCTGCTGCTGCTGTGGTGTTAGACAATCGCAGGCGGCCAGGAGCTCCTCTGTGGACTTGGCCGTTATGGTGGTGGTCGTGGTGGTCGTCAGCTCACCCACAAATTCGGTAGGAGGCGGCGCATAGTTCTCCACATCGCCATAGGTGGAATAGCGGCCATACGGATTGCGCCTAGGCATGGAATGCCGTTGTTGTGCTATTTGCAGTTTCACCGCCGGCTTAATGGCAACTGTATCCAAATAGCCGTAGTTGAAGCTTTGGCCCACAAGCGTCTTGGTTGCTAGATTATCCCAGGATTTGGGCTTTTGCACGTAAGCAATGGTGTTTGGATAGATCTGTGAGGGCTGCACTTGAGTAGCTGTCATATGGTAATGCGGATGATGATGATGATGTCCATGTTGTTGTTGCTGCTGTTGATGTTGCTGTTGCTGCTGATGTTGCTGTTGCTGCTGCTGCTGCTGCTGGGAATGCTGCTCATAGGATTGCCTGGACTTGGTCGAGTGTTGCCTGGAAGACTGTGCCGCCTCGCTCTTAGGCTCCCAGAACAGCGTATCCGTGCTAATGGAGGTGGTATATGACGCCGAGTCAGCGGGTGCGAATTCACTCGAGGTGCAGGAATGCAGACTACAATGGCTAGCCAATCCAGAGGCTAAATCAAAATAGCGGGACCGAACGCTGCTCGCCTGTGAAGGCGCCTGCTGATGATAATGATGATGTGAGTGCTGCTGCTCCTGTGGCTGTTGCTGTTGCTGCTGCTGCTGCTCTTGTGCATGTCGATGATGATGATGATGGTGGTGGTGATGATGGTGATTAGGCTGCCGATCCACGGTCGCAGCTGGCTTGGTTACATTGGCGCCAGGCGAGGCATGTGTCTTGGTTGCCTGCTTCTCTTTAGACTCCAATCTCTCCTTTTCTTTCTCTCTCTCCCTCTCTCGATGCTTGTGCTTGTGCTCCTTGTGCTGGCGATGGCGACGCCGTGAGGGCACGCACTGTGTCTCGCAGCAGGGGCTGGCCAGATCGTAGGCATCCAGGCTCACATTGTCGCCGTTGCTGTGCGACTTCTCCGCAGACTTCCAGCGAAAGTGGCCCAAGCAGGGATTGCAGGAGTGTCCATTGCCATGGCAATGCTTGGTCTTCTGCTTGGCTGGGGGCTTGTGCTTCTCGCAGGTTCGCGGCGGCGGCGCTGGTGGCTTCACTGTGCTAGCTGCTCCGCTTGCTCCTCCTCCCCCTCCTCCTCCTCCTCCTCCTCCTGCACTCGCACTGTGGTACTGACTGTTAGCTGTTACCTGGCTGCAGCTATTGGTGTCCAGTGACTCGGTTCTCTGCAGCACATAGTGCTGATCCCCTCCAGCAGCTGCCGCACCTCCTGGCAGCACATAGCGGTACCGGTAGCTGGGATCCAGATAGTGATACGTGAGCATAAACTGTGCGGGTGGAGGAATTATAACTGGCTGCTGTCTCAGTGCGATATTAGCCACATCCTCTGTGGACAAAGCGGGCCTATAGAAGCCCGGCTCATTCGCACTCGCCTCTGTTGGGGAGACGCCTTCTCCGTCACTTGGCGAGGTATTGGCATTTGCTTTCTTTCTCGCCGGCAAGCTGTGCGTCTTCCACTTGCCCTCCAGCAGCTCCCGCTCACGCAGATGCACTCGCTCCAGCTCGTTCATCTTCTGCTGCAACAGACTCTGCAGCTGTATATAGCGCATGTGCAGATCAACCTATACATAAGAACACATTTTCTTAGAGGATCGTCTACAGCATTTGACATGCTCGAGCTCACCTTTCTCACACAATCCTCGAAGAGCACAACCATTCGCATGCGCATATCGCATTTCTTGATAAACTCCACAATGGTCTTATGATCCGCCTTCTCCATATCGTGGCCATTGATGGAGAGTATAACGTCGCCTTCACGCATCCCAGCTCGATAGGCCGGTCCACCGTATTCCACATAGTCCACATACGTAATCATCTCCAGCTCTTCGTCGCATTTGTAGTGTATGCCGTAGCTCTGCAGTGTGAAGCCATACGAATCGTTTCTCTTCTCCACAATGATCGTGCGACGTCTGCGATCCTCGTCCGGCTTGGAGCCAGGCAGCAAACGCTCCGATTTATAGCGGCCCAAAATGTGAGTGGAGCGTGAAAGCTGCGAGTATACGGAGAGGTTACAAAGTGTTCAAGATATTGGATAGTAATAGGAGTACATGGGAGTGGATGTGTGAATGTCAGAAGGATTTAAGTCATAGAGGCGCTCTTGGAATAATCGGTGAGTCGATCTACTTTTGATTCCGCTCTTAGTTAGACTTTCAAAATACCTAAATGCCTTAGCGAAAAGCATCATCCATATATTAATTCATTAATATCATAACTCTATCAAATATATATAATTTATAAAGCTTAACTTAATCCTCATTAACCCTTCAACCCTTGGATAAATGCCGTTTCTTGTTTTCATTTTGAAGCGCTTTAAAAGGCGAAAAACTAAGCCATTTATGTCAACTCAAATGTCCTAATACTTTCTCTCCTTGTCTCGGTCTTTCAATATATATATAAATCTGTCTATTGCCTCCTCTCGCCTTCTCGCTCCCCGAAGCAATAAAGCTTTAATGAAAGGCCCAGTCGCTGTCTATTTAACTGTGCTGTCTGTGTGCGTCTTGTTTGCCTGCCATTGTTTCAAATCCTATCTCTTTTGCTTCCCCTCTCTCCCAGCGGCCATTTGACCCGTCTAAAGCCCAGTGAAAGTGTTAGCTTGAAGGAAGAACTCCTCATACCATATTCATGAAATACTTTTTTGTTAAAAGCCGTGACAGCTGGGCAAACATCATTTGGTTGTGGCGTTGTCTGCGGGCATTCGTTGTGCCACATTTGTGGCTGGCCATAGATGATGATGATCCCCAGGTGTAAACTACTATTCATACCCTGTAAGCTATGGGTGGACAGAAGGGCTTATATAGCTGTTGAGCCATGTCAAACACTTAGCTTGTCAAACTTATCTTTGTCTTTACGTACATACATATATAGATAGTACTGGGTATACAATAAAGCAAACTTATATACTATACCTAGCTTCTACTATATCATCTTACACTACCTTATAAACTTATATAGCGAGACTACCATTTGCGTTGTTCACTACTCGCATTTTCTTCATAAATATTAAATGCAATAGAGCGTCCAGAAAACACAGATGAAATGAAATTTCATTCTAAAGAGAAGTTAAAAGAAAAATAGTAAAACAAGTTTAAGCTTAAAGTTGCCCAAAGAAAACACTGAAAAGAAAATGCAAAAGCAACAACATATGAAAACCCAAAAAGGTCTATCCATGACAAACAGTTCCGGTTTGGGCTTCATTAAGCACAACACAAAAATCTCATAAAAAAACATAATTGAATTAATTTTGTGTGGGCGTAGCAAGAGAAGGGGAGAGAAGTAGTGGCAAGGAAGGCCAGGAATAAGCAGTGGGGGAGGAAGACCAAATATTACGTGGAGTGTGGAATAAAGAAAGATTGATGAATAAAAGGACGGGAGAAGGGAGGAGACGATAGAAGGCTAGAGGATAGAAAAATATATGAACGAAGAAGCTGTAATTATGTAGAAGAGAAAAAAATCCACAGGGGAGCAGGGCAGCAGAGCATAGGAACAGAGGAGCATAGGAGCACGTAGGAGCAGAATCGTTGAAAAAATAACAGTTAGCAAAGGTGAGCAGGAGAGATGGAGGTCGGCTATTTCCGTAACATTAAATTATTGAAGACTGATTTGAGCCGCTGCTTTGGTTTGGCTTTTGCTTCGCCAATTGTCTGGCCAAGCGTAAGCTTTGGCTATGGCAACGGACTAAAGGTTAAACAGCTGAGGCGGCTTTCAACCCCAGCTCGACCCACACCGAAGGGAAAAGCCACCACCAAGGCAAACATATATAAACACATATAGAAAGGGAGTGAAAGAGAAAGAGCTAAATTCACCACCCGCCGCCGCCGCAAGGCGATTTCAATTGAGCTGCAGGACAACACATTATGACTCAATAAGCAGCCAGCTGGCGTTGGAGGAGGGGGAGCTGGAGGACCAAGAGGACGAGGACGATGAGAATTTTGTACTTTGTCGACTTTTGATTTAATGCATATTAGTCACATTACCTGCGCATACTCAAGCTCCTCGTCGCTGGCATCGAGACTTTTGTGATGGTACTTTAGACGACCCAAGCTGCCCGTTCCATTCACGTAGTGGGAAGCCGTTGGCTGTTGGCTGCTAGCGGCGGCTGCTATCAGTGAGCCCACCGAGGTGGCATTGGAAACAGACATGGAGACGGCTGCAGCTGTTGTCGCCGCCGACGCAATGCTCTGGCGGCTCATGCTGTTCATGGTTTCGTTGTCTATTGATTTCTACACTCAATCATTTTGCTAGGTAGCCAAAAAGAAAAAAGCCCGACAACAGATACCGACAAAAACTACACAAATTATATCGCGTTTTATAAATAATAATAGATCTCCATATATATTAATAAACACCTGCGCAACAGCTCGCTTCAATCACCGACCAAGTTACAATTGCAATTAGTCATAAGAATTGACTAGCAAATGCTGCGCTACTATTTGTTTTGTTGAAAAGAAACTTTTTTCATATTCGTTTGTCGTGTGTGTTTCCGCTTCGTTTGTTCCACTTCCGTTCGAGCTTGGTGCCGTACTGAATGTGGCAGCGGCCAATGGGGAGTACGTGCAACCAGAATATTACCGTTAGTACTTATATTTATGGCACATGTTGACTGTCAGCCGTTCATGTTGCATATAGAAGGCAGTAGACATACCGTGCGCTCAAATTTAAATTCGCATGCGCAGAGTTGCCACCTAGAGAGAGCATAACAGTAACAGGAGCATGCACACTATGAGACGTTTGATTACGAGCAGCTGGTAGCACTCTCTAGAATTATCAAATGAAGTGTTCGGTTTCCTTTCTATTTGTTTATTAAGAGTTGCCACTTGGAGGAGGCAACAGCAGCAGCCTTAAATGGCAGCACCATATAGACTGACCGAATGAAACAATCGAAATCCTTTTTTCTTATTTGTGTTTATTAGAAGTTTATATGGTTCAATATATTGCTATTCAGCAAGCTCGCCACCAGGGACCAACTGCAATAGGTGGAATAATATAAATACTATATATGAGAAATCTCAATCATATGCTAAATTACTCACCATTGTAATGTTGTTACCATTTAGCAGTATCTGGTCGAGCTTTGTAATTCGGCGTCCATCGGGCGTATTTTCGTACTCTGTGACATCGTCTAGCAACATGTTGACGAAGTCATCAAAGCCCAATAGAGTGCCCACCATTTCCTTGTCGTTTTTCATGATGATGTGAATCCGCGAACCAATGCATTTATCCACCAGTTCTGCCGGCAACACGCTAAACGTTTTATATATGAAACAATACACGTATTTTGTTACTTACCCAATGGCATAAGTGTGGATATGTTAGCGGGCGGCGGCACAGCAGTCATTTTGAGGAATTTCAGTCAATAAACTAATTGGAAGTAACAAATACGCTTGCCGCACTTTATACGTATCTTATAATGTCAATTGCTTGCGATAATCCATGAAATATGAAGTATCGACTATCGCCAATAACGATTGCATATATATGTGTGGTGACTTTCAGACTATCGATAGGTTTCAAAAGCGTAGCTATAGCTGTCGAAAAAACAGCCGGTGTTTTGTGTTTGGTAAAATAAATAAAATGGCAACAATGAACGATGGTGAGCTATTCTCAGTTTATAAAATAAAACGTGTAACAGCTAATTGGTTTCTATGCAGAGGAGATTATAAAACAGCGTCTACTTATTGACGGCGATGGCACAGGCGAAGATCGCAGGCTGAACATGCTGTTGAAGCAGTTTCTCAAGTGGGCCAACTCCAAAAACGATTCGCCAGAGACCAAGTACAATTTACTATAAATAATGAAGTATTAAATATTAATAAGACTAAAATTTCAGTCAAATCATGTACGATCGTTTGATGGCACAGTTGGCGCAATGTCAATTTGCAGCACTGAAGAATGTATACACGTTACGGATGATCAAGGAGGAGCAGGAGAACTACGCGAAACTAGCTGAAAAACATAAAGAGAGCATCGAACTTGCCAAAGAGGAGATCGAGGCAAGCAAAAAGGAACTTATCATAGCTAAGGAAATACGCAAAAATAAAATGGAGTACGATTTGCTGGCATCGTTAATCGAGGAGCAGCCCGATCGCAAGGATACAGAGAAACAAATCGAGGTCATCAAAAAGGAAATCGACAAACTAACACAAAAGAAGCTAAAGATGGAGCACAAATTCCAGAAGCGTCGCAACGATTTCACACTTTTAATGTACACCATACATGAGCTAGAGCAGCAGCTGGAGGAGGAAAACAGCTCCGGGTCATCAGACTCAAGTGATAGCGACGCCGCATCCGAATCGAATGATAATAATGGCATCATGGAAGTCAGCGACGATGACGATGATGAACTAAATAATATCGTTACCACAAAATTCGACAGCAATCGAGGCAAATCGAAAGAAAACTCTGCCTCAACCGAAAGCTCCAAGGAGCCCATGACCATGTCAGTGGACGAAGATGCAGTGCTGGAGCTAAGCATCGAAAAGGATGACCACGATGTGGACGTTGCAGTGGCCAGTTAAACAAGAGTACAATTATATAATAGACCTACACAGTCATCGATGCGGGTTCCACTCCATATTTTAAGCGATCGAAGGCGTCGATGGTTCCAGCTTAAATGTAGAGAGCTGTTTAAGTAAAGATAGGTTGACAATGTTCACTCCTTAACGGTTAAAAAAAAAACGTTTATTCTTATACAAAAAAGACAACAGAAATCATAATCTAATTACAACAACCAAATCGATACTATCGACAGTTTATATAGTTCTAACTATATAGTAAATTGCTATTAACAAGATTTAAATGCTAGATCCGCAATGAGAGCCACATGATCTGAGGGGAATTTAACGGATGGTATAGCCTCATTCTCGCTCAACTGTTCTAGCGTGGGCAACGGCACAGATTGCAGGAGATCGAAACAGTCGTTTTGATAGAATATGTAATCCAAGCAGGCAGCGAATAGATTTGTATAGTTAGTATAAGGCGGAGTGCCACAGGCGGAGCTCATTAGGAAAGGCTGTCGAAGCTCCACATCTTCGACAGCTTCCTTTTCATTGCTGCGCCAATCCACAAAATCCTTGCCCACAAACTGCTCCGTCATCAGCTTATAGATGCCGCATTCCGGTACGCTATTGAAGTCGCCACAAAATATTAGACCAATATTTTGAGAAGTGATATTGCGCTCCTTTATGACTTGTTTGTAGATGTGCTCCACGAAGATGACCGAAAAGCCGATCTGTAGCAGTCGTATATGATCGGCATCTGGATGAAAGTATAAATGGGTGTTGGCCACCAAAACATAGCGACCAGTCTCCTTCACTTGCAGCAAAGACAATTGCAACGTAGTGGTTCGTTCGCAGATGCGCTTGGCTAGCTGCTCGTTGCTCTTAATTCTATTCCACAGCGGCGTAAAAACAGGCAGCGTGCTTATGTTATCACCCAGGTGCAGAACATAGTTCTTCACCAATTCAAATCTTGAGGTGCGATAGAATAGAGCAATACCTTCGGCGCAGGTTCCTTTGGGTGTCATGATGCCAGTAAAGCTGTGCAGTACGTGCTTTAGATCATGCTCAAAAATCTTCAAATCCACCTCCTGCAGGCACATGAGGTCCGCATTGTAGCCCAGCAGCTCCTTAATAAACAGCTGCTTGCGATAATCGATTTTAAGTGCATCCGCCGCACAATAGGGAAACAGAGTCTTACGCGCATAATCTCCATCAGCATAAAGATCGGCCAGCAGATTGTAGCTGACCACCCGTATTGCATTGGGATCACTTAAAGGCTGCTTAGTATATTGATGACGCTGTTCAAATGGACAGTCCGTGGGTCCTACCTGCACGGGTAATTTACTGATGCATTCTGTAGCTGGGCCAAGGAGACCCTGCTCGTTACCTGGCCTAATTACCAGCTTCAGATAATGACCAACGTCTGATGCAGAGGTCTGATAGATGAATCCTTCCGCACAGCGCTCCCAGGCGACCTTCTCATTAAATATACCATTTGCTGGCTTTACTGCCCTATACCATTCAGCTATACTATGCTCGCGGCTGGCGAACTCCAGATCAAGCTTTAATGGATAAACCAGAAAACCTGCTAAAATGGAGCTGGGCAATTGTACTGAATCAATCCAAGGCTGATTAAGCAGCACATCAAAGTTGGTGTCGTGTATTCGCAACTTCAATCCATCCGCCGAGCTCTTGAGCAGCTCTTCAAAGGTTACGCCCAGAATTTGTTCCTCGGAGCCTTCCCGACGGAACTCCACAACAATCTTATTAGGAATGACAGCCAACGGTGCCTCGACAGCTGCTGCTCCTTTTAGTTTCTTCTTACTCTTTTTGGTGAGCTCCTTTTCAACATTGTTGCGTATGCGTAGGAGCGCTTCATCCACGCGCTCGCTCATGCGTCGACAAAAGTTAAAGCTGCGATCCAATTTAAGCTCCTGGTTGGCGTAACGAAATGTAATGTGAAGCTCTTCTGTGTTTTGTGCATTGCGGAAATAAACTTTGTCCATGGCGACGGCTGTGCTATGCGGCCGTAAACTACGTAATGAAGTCGAAAGTGCAGTTCCTCGCAATTGTTGATAAACTAATGTGTGTAGCGAACAAAAATGAAGAAACTTTCCAATCATTGCCGGCGTGCTGCACTCTGTTAAGTTAACATACAAATGTTACGGCGGTTGAATTGAAAACAGGATTTAAGAAAATAGTGAATTAACAGATAATAAATTTGAGCTAATAACTACTTGTTGTACTGTTTATGTCATTTTGCTTTATAAGGAGGTTTACTTATTTTAAGCTGGGGAAATGTAAATAATAATCAATCGATGTCATATACTCGCAGCTATCGAGCTGTTAACTATCTGTTATTTTATAGAACTAGTTCATTAACTAATTTGTACAGTTTATCGGTCGTGAACTGGTAGCAAACGTTTGGACACAAGTCGGATGCAAATATAAAATCGCACGCCACAACCTACAAGTTAAATTTGTAATAAAATTAACTAGGTAACACTGCATGCCCAAGCTACAATCCATCATACACAATGACGAGTGACGACAAGAGGTAGGGTATAAATATAAAATTATATATTAAGTAAAAGTTTGTGAGGTTATGTGTGTGTGTGTGTGAGAAATCTGTGTTGTGTGTATGTATATTAATTTAATTTTTTCAAGCAGTTACGACTCCAGCGACAACAGCGAGGCCGAGGAGCGACACGCCAAGCATAAGAAGTCTAAAAAGCATAAGAAACACAAAAAGTCTAGCAGCAGTGATAAGGTGCACAAAAAACACAAGAAATCAAAAAAGCGCCATCAGCGTCACAGCGAATCTTCTAATGCATCCGAGAAACAGCAGCTCATACGAAACAATGTAGCGACTCAAGGTCTGAGTAGCAAATTCACTGAGTTGATGCAAGCCAGTCGTGAGCGTAGCTCAAGACTGACGCCCAATGGCGCCGATTTTCGTGTTGTCAAACCAAATACAGATCCATGTAGCTTGGTTGAAGAGATTACCAAGACCATACAGAACAAGGTGCGGCCTGTACTTGAAGTGGCCACATCTGGTAGTGAGAGTGATGTGTAGGTATTGAACATATATAAATGTGACGCGTAACTCATAGATCATATGTATTCTAGCCCCATTGACGTAGCCAGTCCTGTGTTGATGCCAGATAAGCTCGAGGATGAGCTAAATTTGGAGGAGCTAATGCGACAAAAGGCTCTTCTGCAAGCACGCTTGGGTGCCTACATGTCTGACACTGAAGGCGATGAGAGTCGTCCCAATTCGTTGCAGCTCAAGCGTCAATTGCAGCAACCCCATCAGCCACAGCAACCCGTAGTTGCAGCTATCGAGGCGCCGAAGCGTAGGCCGAACTCGCAGTCTGCACTGCAGCTGGCAACTGCAACTAGTAAACATGCTAATAATAAACAGTCTAACATCAATAACTCAAACGAACCCGATGTTATATTATTGGATGATTCTAGTGGTAGTCAGCGTACGCCCTCGCCCACACCAGAGAAGCGAAGACGACAATCATCGCCCACGGTCCCACAAAGAAGTCGGCCACAACAGCAGCGGGACTCGCGTGATCGTCGTTCGCTCCGAGATCAACGAAGTCGCACGCCTCGCCGACGCAGTGAGCAACAGCTACAGCAGCAGCAGAGACGTCATCACCAAGAGTACAACAGGAACATGGAGGATCTACGACAGGAGATCAATCGTGATAAGCAGCGAGAGAGACGCGAACAAAGTCGTGATCGTGAAAGGCGACCAGATAGAGATAATCGACAGCAGCAGTCAGAGCGTGGAGGTAGGCAGCGCGAGCGTGAGCGCGAACGAGACCGTGATCGTGATCGCGATCGCTGGCAACGTCCACGTTCGCATAGTCGTAGTAAGTTTGAATCAGATAGAAGGCGAGAGCGTGAACGTCAGCTGGAGCAGGATCGGGGCGGTGAGCGTGGCGCAGGATCCGGACGTGGAGCACGCTCTGGCAATGGTGTGGGCGCTGCCGATCGCGATCGCTATAAAGGCTCTTTAAGCGAGGGGCAGAAAATGCACGAAAAGGAGAGCAGCGACGAGGAAACCAGTCTTGACATAGATATCAACGAGGACGAGGATGATGAGGAGCGTATCATTGAGATGCGTCGCAAGCAACGTGAGGAGCTGGTCAAGGTGAGTCCAATGCAAATAAATATAGCTCCTATTATAGATACCTATTCCATTTCATTCCTAGAAACTGGTTACCACGGAGGGCAAGTCGTGTACAACCAGCCCGACGCCTCGCAAGTCAAATTCATATGAATCGAGAAGCATTTCACCCGTCTCCTCAAAGCCAGAACAGATGCAGCATTCGCCAACGATTGAAAAAGAAGAGCAGCCGCCTGCTAAGCCCGAAGCTTTCGATGCAAATGCTTCGAAGAACAGCACAGTTAAAGAGAAACGCAACGAATGGGACATGTTTGCCGATCAGGATGTTGATTCAAATTTCGATGTGAGTCGCAGGATTGTAAATGTCGAGCAGGCAACTGCTTAAGCACAAGGTTACTCAATCACTCTCTGTATTTATAGTCCCCTAGTACGATAGTGCACAGTAAGCATCAAATTGAGAATCCTGCTCTAACTGACAATTGGGACGATGCGGAGGGCTATTATCGTGTGCGCATTGGTGAGGTACTGGACAATCGGTACCTCGTCAGTGGCTACACAGGACAAGGCGTGTTCAGCAATGTGGTGCGCAGCAGGGATCAGGCGCGTGGCTCGGCCAATGTGGCTATCAAAATTATACGCAACAACGAGATCATGTAAGTTCGATATCATCAATAGTTACATTTCATTCTTTATTTATTTTGTATGTATGTCCTTAATGCCCTATGTCCAGGCATAAGACAGGTCTGCGTGAGCTGGAAATCCTTAAGAAACTCAACGATGCTGATCCTGATGATCGTTTCCATTGCCTTCGCTTATATCGACACTTTTTCCACAAACAGGTAAGGTGTCTCAAAATATTCTGAAAAATCAATTAATAACCCTCGGAACTCTCTGTGCGTAGCATCTTTGCATGGTGTTTGAGCCGCTGGCCATGAATCTGCGCGAGGTGCTCAAGAAATATGGCAAAAATGTTGGCCTTCACATAAAAGCGGTGCGCAGCTATACTCAGCAACTGTTCCTCGCTCTTAAGCTGCTGAAGAAGACGGGCATATTGCATGCGGACATCAAGCCCGATAATATTCTAGTTAATGAGAATAATTTAATATTGAAGCTGTGCGATTTTGGCTCTGCCTCGGCCATCAGTGAGAATGAAATAACGCCTTATTTGGTATCACGTTTCTATCGAGCACCTGAAATAATATTGGGCATACCCTATGACTATGGCATTGATACGTGGTCAGCCGGTTGCACTATCTACGAACTATATACGGGCAAGATATTGTTCAGTGGCAAGAGCAACAATCAGATGCTCAAGTTCTTTATGGATGTAAAGGGCAAGATACCCAATCGCATTATACGTAAAGGACAATTCAGAGAACAGCATTTTGATCAAAGCTGTAATTTCCTCTATCACGAAATAGACAAATTAACGGAGAGGGTAAGTACAGGGATACATTTGGATATGTATATGGGTAACTAATTAAGCTCGAATCTCATTGAATTATTCAGGAAAAGATCGTCGTGATGCCTGTGGTGAAGCCTACCCGTAACTTGCAACAGGAGCTAATCGCTGATCAAAACTTACCCGATGATCAGCATCGGAAGGTGACACAGCTCAAAGATTTGCTGGAGAATATGTTTGCCTTGGACCCAGGCAAACGTATATCGCTAAATCAGGCACTGACGCATCCCTTTATACAGGAGAAAATGTAGCTCCAAACAGCACAGAGAGCGACACAATAAACGTAATTCAATTATTTGTAGACTATAAGAAATTACGTTAGAAGAAGTTTATCGAGTTATTATTATCACCCGAGCTACAAAACCACACACTCAGCTATCTTTCTATATATATAAATCCTTATATATCTTGATTATATTGATTGTAAGCATATGTACATAATGTTCAGTGGTTCGGCCGAATTGTTATTTGTGTGTGCGTGCTTACACGAACTTAATATATATAAAACTAAGTAATACATTATATATATATATGTATATGCATGTACTTCAGTTACTACTACACACACACACACACACACACACACACAGTTTCGCAATTATATAGTGTGGTATATATACATTATAACATCTAGCTGCAGTTGACTCTCTATCAGAAACTGTTATTAATATTTGATACCATTTCAGTGGACCTCTGCTGATCTATAAAGAAATGGAATCGAGCTGCGCAACTGGTAATAATTTATTTTTGGGCTCACAACAGTTAAAAAAAAAAAAAAAGAAAAAAAAACATTTTTGGGCCAAATTTCTATATTATTTTTACCAACCCCCATTCGGCTTATGTTAAACTCTCAGTTTTAATGCTGTTTGTTTTCTTTGAACTTTGCAGCTAATTCGGCCGAAATTGTGGAAACTGCGCGTCTTGAAACTTTGACACAATTCCACGTCCGGGCGTAAGTTGTGTTTCCTTTTGAAATCGCGTGTCTTACTGAGAAACATTTCTCTTTCTCTCTCTCGTGTTCTGTTTCTAATTCGACAGGTATACCAGGAGGGGCGAGGATTCCTCTTGCGAACGAGCCACAGGTAAAGTAAATAATGGATTGAATTTGTTGCTTTTGCTTGAAGTCTGTTTAGAGACTATTTCGGGTGAAGATGATGCAATAGAGCAGCTATAGGATGTTACCTCATAATTTTGCAATAATATAGTCAGCATTTATTAGACTAGAAAATTAGCTTACAAAATTGTTTAATACATTTGAGAATGAATTCCCAAATCTTAAGTCTGACAGAATTGAACAACCTTTTTAAGTGCGTA